AGTGAAATGTCTCAACATCTACTGGATGGATGCCAATAAATTTGACTACAGATATCCATGGGTGGCCCAAAGAGGAATCTGGAAGACATTGGTGATATACCTGAATTTTCCTGTAGTGCTGCAAATGAGGTATTCAGTGAAACATCTCAACAACTATTGGATGGATTGCTATAAAATTTAGTAGGCTACACATGTTCAGATTCGCCTCAGGATGAATTGTAATAACTTTGGTGACCCTCTGACTTTTCATCTAGCGCCATCATCAGTTAAAAAAGTTTTTTATTTGTCCAATACTTTGGTTTATGTCCAAATTCATGCACGATGTGAAGCATCTTAATTAAGCGTGGGCGCATATGAAGACAGGAGATAGGACAGGATCCCCAAGAGAGTAGACGCTCGTGGTGTGGGAGCCACGGGACGAGTGTCCCTGGACATCATGGAGGTTGTGGTGGTGATGAGGAGGAGGTGGGTTGCACAATAATAGGTCTGAAAGACTTGTCATGATATTTAAACAGTGGCATCCAAAGTAAAGTCAAGTTTAACTTAACAGTCCCAGACAGTGTTTGAATCACCTTTTCCCATCCCACTGACACTATGAAGTGGGTGAGCCAGAATGAATTCTTGACAAAGCTTCTTCTGTTCCACTAAATACAGACTGGAGAACATTTATACTAGCAGGCTGAAAAGGGGAGGGGACAGCTGTGGCATTGCATCATGCTGACTATGGCTTTACAATCTGCTCTGGCTATGGTTAAGTGAGTCAGTGTACATATAAGCAGCAAAAGCACTACTAATCATGTCCGTACATCTGAGTATGGACAGTAGGGAGTGGGTGTTTTCTGCAAAATGTTTGTTATTATCATAAACACTGAACGACTGGAATATAGGGATAATCAACTATGATATTGCATACCTCAACTTCACACCGCATTTCGTGTGGAGTCGGTGATGAGGCGGCGGTGAATCTGAAACTGTTTATAGCCTAAAGGTTTCAAATGTCACAGAACTGAAAAACAACAGGTGACATAATATTTAAATTTCAGTGGTTACGTGTTGGCTAATTTATGAGGTGAAAGCAAAGAAAGAAAGACACCAGGTCCTTTTTAAAGAACTGAAGTGTAAGTAACAGCTGAGCTCAGCTAATAAGAATGTTCTGTATATCCAAATATTCTCAGCAGGAGAAATATGTACTATTTAAAGCCTCTCTCCCCCTTTTGAGTTCTCACTGTATACCGAGAAAACATGATGTACATGTGCGAAAGAAAACAAGAAACACATGCTCATTCCAAAGATGAAATCAAACCCACCCCCACATTCATATGACGCTAAAGGAGGAGTTATTTAGAGAGAGAAATGTTGAAATTGGGGGAAATTCAGTCCTAAGGGAATTGTCAGCAGAAATATGTGCAAATTGACAACTCCCATTTAATACAAAGACAAACATTAGGGCCTCATGTTTAATTAGAAAATAAATAAATTTGTCCAAGACTGTGTGGGTGTGCAGGCTGAGGCAGCAGCTAGTATACAGGTGAAACTCAAAAAATTAGAATATCGTGCAAAGGTTCGTTTATTCCAGCAATTAGATTTACAAGGTGAAACTAATGTATGACATAGGTTCATAACATGCAACTCAAGATATTTCAAGCCTTCATTTGATATAATTTAGAAAACCTCAAATTGAAAATCTCAAAAAATTAGAATATCAGATACAATTAATAGAAAGGGGATTTTAAACAGAGAAATATTGGCCCTCTGAAAGGTTTAATCTTGCATATGTACTTAGTACTTGGTTTGGGCCCCTTTTGCATGAATTACTGCCTCAATGCGGCGTGGCATGGATGCTATCAGCCTGTGGCACTGCTCAGGTGTTATGGAAGACCAGGATGCTTTGATAGCGGCCTTCAGCTCTGCTGCATTGTTCGGTCTCATGTCTCTCATCTTTCTCTTGGCAATGCCCCATAAATTCTCTATGGGGTTCAGGTCTGGTGAGTTTGCTGGCCAATCAAGCACCGTTATCTGATGGTTATTTAACCAGGTTTTGGTACTTTTGGCAGTGTGGGCAGGTGCCATATCCTGTTGGAAGATGAAGTCAGCATCTCCATAAAGCTTGTCTGCTGAAGGAACCATGAAGTGTTCTAAAATCTCCTGATAGACAGCTGCGTTGACTCTGGACTCAATAAAGCACAGTGGACCAACACCAGCAGATGACATGGCTCCCCAAACCAACACAGACTGAGGAAACTTCACACTGGACTTCATGCATCTTGGATTGTGTGCATCTCCATTCTTCCTCCAGACTCTGGGACCTTGGTTTCCAAATGAGATGCAAAATTTGCTCTCATCGGAAAAGAGGACTTTGGACCACTGAGCAACAGACCAGTTCTTTTTGTCTTTAGCCCAGGTAAGATGCTTCTGACGTTGTTTGTTGGTTAGGAGCGGCTTGATAAGAGGAATACGACATTTGAAGCCCATTTGCAGGATCCGTCTGTGTGTGGTGGCTCTTGATGTACTAACTCCAGCCTCGGCCCACTCCTTGTGAAGTTCCCCCACACTTTTGAATGGCCTTTTCCTGACAATCCTCTCCAGACTCCGGTCATCCCTGCGGCTTGTGCACCTTTTTCTTCCACACTTTTCCCTTCCAGCTAACTTTCTATTTATGTGCTTTGATACAGCACTTTGAGAACATCCAACTTCTTTTGCAATTACCTTTTGAGGCTTTCCCTCCTTGTGGAGGATGTCAATGATGGTTTTCTGCACAACTGTCAGGTCAGCAGTCTTCCCCATGATTGTGAATTCTACTGAACCAGACTGAGAGACCATTTAAAGACTCAGGAACCCTTCACAGGTGTTTTGGATTAATTAGCTGATGAGCGTGTGACACTTTGAGCCTATAGTATTGAACCTTTTCCAAATATTCTAATTTTCTGAGATTTGGAATTTGGGGTTTTCAAAAACTGTAAGCCATGATCATCAAGATTATAACAAATAAAGCCTTGACATATCTCACTTTGCATGTACTGAGTTTAAATCACATGTTAGTTTCACATTTGAACTTGAATTGCTGACTTGAATGAACTTTTGCACGATATTCTAATTTTTTGAGTTTCAGCTGTATGTGTCACAATACAGACACAAAGTTAAAACAAGCCACAGCAACAACACAGTCAGAGAGGCAGATAAATAAAATACGAGCAACATTAGATCATCTTAAATAAAGATTTGAAACCATGGATATCATATTTTATTTGTTTCATGTTTGTTAACATAAATCAGTATTGAGAATCATGATGGAAGAAGCACTCAGAGAAGTAAAAGTACCACAGTACCAAAGTGTTCAGATACTGTGCTACAAATAAAAGTTCTCTATTCAAAACTTTACATGAGTATAAATAGTTTTAAACATAAGTTTAAACATATACTTTAAGTACCAAAAGTGTTCATTCTGCAGAATAGCCCACTTCAGAATAAAGATTTATAGAAGTGGATTATAATTACTGCTGTACTCCTACATATGATCACTTTAATGTTGCAGCTAGTGAAGTTGGAGCTAATTTAACTACTTTATGATATATTATTATAGATTAAAGCCATACATAACCTATTTGTTGATTATATAGCTAACGCTTTACTTTAACCACCTTTATAAGCAGTTTATAAAGATTTAATAAAAATTGAATGTTATAGCCAACAAAAGATAATTTTAAGTGTTTAATATAAAGCATCTGTCAACATTTATCCTATTTCACATTATTAAAATGGTGTTTTCCTATTCTATTATTAATTATGTGTTTGTCCAGTAGCTTTATGGGTTTAATTATATTGTAGATGAAGTTTCCACCACTGTGTTCAAACAACCAAGGTACTCTATGTGCATGGGTACATAATACACAGGTAGCTAAATATATAGGCTATAGCCTATAGGTCATTCTGTGTATAGGCCTATATATAATATATACGGTATGTTATGAGGATATTTGGGGTCATTTATTTTGCACTGCTCTGCCATCTTACACTCCTGTTTTATCCCATTTTAAATTTAGTTTTTTATTTTCTATTTTATTCCAATGGCCTACATATTATGCAGCATCTAACTTTTTGGCATTGAATAGGACAGAATTAATTTAGCTGATTTTTGTGTTTTCTCTTATTTTGTTAAAGCTATGGCTAAGCCAATGAACCGAGTACCGTTATGGTGTGTGTCTCCATGATAGACGTAAAGTTGCCTTCATGGTGACCCCGACAACGGATTATCCCTCCTGTACAATTTTAACTGCGGCGACAACCTGGCGTTCACGGAGAAATTAAGCTTTTCAAGAGGAAGGAACTCTTAATTTCCTCCCCAGGGAAGTACCAAGGAAAACGGTGTCCGTTTTCCCGAGTTCACGCGGTAAATCTCTTGTGGAGAAAATTACGTAGGCGATCCTCTGACGTCTCTTTGTCACGAAGGCAACATTACAGAGCAGCGCTACAAAGCGGACATTGCAGTGTCGTTGCTATGGAAACTACACAAATTCTCAGTGGAGTGGGAGCGGTATCGCCCTTGATTGTAAGCCCAAAAAAACCTTCACCGTGTAGTTACTAAAATAACAATGTAGCTCATAATAATAATACATTTCATTTACATTGTACATTTAATCCAAATAAAGCAGTTCAAAGTGGAAGAGGCATTTTAAACTACTGTTAAAATAAACTAAAATTCAAGCAATTTCATCTGGGCATCGGTTTCTAAGTGACTTCATTGACCTACGTGCAATCAGTTTTAGGTAGTCAGTACATAGGTAACTGATAATTAATTGATGAAGATGGATTTTAGAGAAGATTCTCAACCTTAATAACACCCCGCCCAGCTCAGAGGGCAGGATCACGTTGTCTCTCTTACTCAGAGGTGATATGTGAGGTGGCGATAGAGCAAAAGGAAATACTCAAGTTTAAGGATTTTCCCACACCCATCAGCGGGGCGACCAGGTCTTCAAATACAGGGACTGGGACCACGATGGATGGTCACAATCAAAGCTGTGTGGTTTCAAGATGAAATGGGTCAGCCTGCAATTGGTAATTCTGAATGTGAACCAAAGGGAGCTGGTTGTGATTTAAACTCTCTAAAACCTGCTCTTTCTTAAAATGATTTATTTTATTTTTGAAAAATACTTATAGATCTCCCTCGGCCTCTTGCTGATCTTCAACGACCAGACTTCTTTCTCCGCTGCCCAGACTAAGAGCTCCAAATGCATCAGCGGGGACGAGCTGGAGGATCACTCCGACAGATTCCTGGAGACATACTGGCAGAAGCACCTGAAGCAGCAGGACAAGCGTACCAATCGAACGCGCCGAGGATTAAACAGCCGCTCCTTATCCCCGTGGAAGTTCAGGTGAGTGCAGCATGCAGCTACGGGGCCCGGGAGGGGGGGAGGGGGAGAGGGGGGGGGGCAGACACGCTCAGTGATGTATCAGCTGAGGGGAAAGAAGGCTTCTCAGAATTTTTTACTTAGGTGATGTAAAAATACTCCATTACAGGTAAAACTAATGCATTTAAAAACTCACTTAAATGAAATTGAATTATCAGCAAAATGTATTTTAACAGTGAAAGTGTCAGGCCAGAAAAATGGTGATTGGTATATGAGAATATTAGATTTAGAACTCTAACAATGAATAGATTAGTCAACTGATAGAACATTAATCAGTATTTTGATAATCAATTAATTATTCTAGTCATTTTGAAGCAAACAGAAAGAAAGAAAGAGAAGGCTTGCTGTTATATCAAGTGAATTTTTTTTAGGTTTGGACCAGACAAAACAAGACATTTGAAGATAGCCTGATTTTTTTTCTACTATTTTACAGATAAAGCCATTGACTATACAGGAAAACAATTGTCAGTTTAATTCATAATGAAAATAATCATTAGTTGGAGCCCTAATTGGATTGTTGCCTGTGCATCAATGTGAAATGAATGGGAGAGGAAAGAAGAAAAAACAAGTTGACAAAAACAACTGGATCCCAACCAGACACTGATTTTTTGTAACTTGTCTAATGTCAACATATTGGGAAACCACCAATTTAATCTTTAACTATGTGTTGTATCTTGTAAATTTGTAATATATTTTTTATGTATGTTTGTTTTCAAAAATGAAATCATGCGACATTTTCAAAAATGAAATCATGCGACATTTTCAAAAATGAAATCATGCGACATTTTCAAAGGGGAAATGACTCGCATCGGAGGTGTGACAAGGTGTCCCAACTACAGACGGGTGTCTTTGTAAGCCAAAAAAGGTTTGAAACCACTGGTTCAACCTTTAAAATATGTTGCCACTTACCAATAAAATGCCATATACATATAAAAAAAACTGCCCCCAGACGACCAAAAGACCCAAGTTCAGTTTTTCAATTGGTTGTTTAGCAGTTGGGAGTTTGCACCAATTAAGTACAATATCCATTAAGTCAGGTGCTGCATTATTACCTAATTTTTGATGAAATATCAGAAACACTTCTATGTAATACAACAACCCTGCAGCGAACATTCATGAGGCTTATAATGTGTGTTGGCAGAATGGCTGTGAAGTAAAATCCAGTAGTTGGGTTTCCCCTGTTTTTTAGTGGCAGACAGAAAGTGTCTACTTATAGTCAAGAGTAAAAGTTACTTTGAAGAACAACTCTCAAGTGATTGATCATATGTATGATCAGAGCAGGAACAGACAACCACAGATATAAGCTCTGTCCCAATTCAGGGGCTGCATCCTTCAGAGGTCGCATTTGAAGACCGATTGCGTCACAACAGTGCGACGCTCGAAGGCTCCTTCAAATGCGGCCGACAAATGCAACCTTCTTTTCCTAAAAAATAAAAAATAAATAAATTAACCAATAGAAAATAAATAAATGAATCACAGTAGTTTAAAACAATAATTAGGTACTTAGCTATGAGAAATATTTACAATATTCACAACACAGAACAAAAACAAAAAAACTAAAAAAAAAAAACTCGAAGAGAAATCTTGGTGCAGCAAAATTGAAGGTAACATATTGATTGTGATTCATTCAGAGTTGCTGTATCAATTGCTCTGTGAGTTACTAATGTCCATTCTGTCTGATTGTGTCCTTCAGACTAGACTATGACGTCAACAGGATTCCTCATCATATTGTCTTCGCAAAGTGCCTCTATCAGGGCTGCATCATCAACCAGCGTGAAAATCTGAACTACAACTCTGTGCCTGTGTTTGCTCAGAAAATGGTCATGAAAAAGACTAAATGTAAACGTCTTCCGAACACATACAAGGTCAAGGAGCGTTATATCAAAGTCCCTGTGGCCTGCGTGTGTGTTGTCCCCAAGTCAGCTAAGTGATTATTCCAATCATACACTCACATCGGTGCTGATTTTTATTGTTTTCTTTAATAACCAAGTTAACCAGAGCAAAATAATCCATCTTGTATCTTGGGGTCACATTAATCTATTTCTCTATTTATTTATTTCCCTATTTATCAGTTAGGTCATAGGTTACTGTAGAGCTATTTATCACAGTTATCTGAAAGTAGGAACTTATGTCAGAGATGTTTTATTATCTATAGTTTTGATACCAAAACTTTTAGGTTTTGTTGCAGAAGTAAAAAAACCTCATTCAAAATCACACTAGAATTTCTTTCAAGATAGGGATGGCAGATTTTTAGCCACACAAGCAACACAGCTGTGGGGATGGCAACATCAGAATTCTAACTTTTTTAACCAAATACCTGCAGAAATTATGCCAAAACTAACACACTAAGCTAACACACTTAACCAGACAAGCACTGTATACTAAATGTTTATGATTATTTCATCATAAGTATGAAGTTAGACATTATATTAACATTAAATATCTGCATGTCATTGTCACTAGAAGCATTTTTATGCCAAACATGGATGGATTACTGAACAGGCCTACCGGGGACAAGGTTTCAAGGGTTTTTTATTTTCCATCAGTCAGTTTTCTAGTTCTCTCATTTAGGCACCAGCTAAAAAATAAATAGGGACAAGTATACAGCATAAACTAATGCTTCATACGACAGCATTTTTAGCCTAAGCTAGTTTGCAATATCCGTCCCGAGATTAATCTAATTAAAGTCGAAAGACCTACTGGTTTAACTCTGAAGCATGATCTGTAAAGATTAAACCAGAAACATGAGCCATTGCTTTCACTCAACAGCAACAAAATGCTCTGCATTGACCACTTAATGATATATATATATATTTTTTTACTGATGAATGTGAAACATGACAAGAGCCAAGTCTCATTGTACAGTCACTTTATGCCACAGTGGCTAGGAGCTAGAAGCGAACAGTACTGATATCAATACCATTCCCATGTCTGTACGCTAAATATGAAGCTACCGCTAGCAAATGGTTAGTGTTGCATAAAGAATGGAAACAGAGAAACAGCTAGCCTAGCTCTGTCAAATAATAACACTCATACAACAATGTAAAAATTCTTCATTCCAAGTAAAAGTCCTGTTTTCAGAATCCTACTTCAGTTAAAGTACAAAAGTGTTACCAGCAAAATGTACATTAAATTGTTAATTGATGCATCTGTGAGATTATAGCTGCTCAAGGTGGAGGTGTTTTTAACTACTTTATATACAGTTAGCGAGTTTAGTCCAGTGGTTCTCAACATAGGGGTCGGGCCCCTTCACGTCAACTAGTTAGCTGTCAGATAAATTTAATGGAGTAACAAGTTCAATATTTGGCTCTGAAATGTAGAGTATGTACAGCATGTATACAAAACAGAAAGAATAAATATTACTTTTACATGTTAGTTTTTGTGCAGAGGTGCTGGTAGATGGATTTTGTTACATTTGGAAAGAGTCAGGCCAGCTGTTTCCCCCTGTTTCCAGTCTGTTTGTTAAGCTAAGCTAACCATCTCCTAGCCTATAGATATGATTTAACAGACAGACAAGTGAGTGGTATCAATCTTCTTATCTAACTCTAATGAACGCATTACCCAAAATGGGGAACTGTTCCTTTAAAATAGGACACTATTTGGCACATGTATATTATGTGCAAGGTACACATGGGTTACATTAATCTTTAAACTATATTTTGATGATTTAACTTTAAAAACATTGTAAGTCATCAAAGTAGTATTGGAGCTTATGTGCTGTTTTTAGTTTTAGTTTTTAAGTAAGCCTCGTTAGGCTAAATGTGAGGATTCCTACAATGTTTTTTGTATGCTCAAAAAAATTGCTTTTCATATTTTTTGTTTATATATGTATATATATATAGTAATTATGATTAAATCTAATGTAGATTTGATCACTGTGAACGGGCCAGTGAATTAAGTTGTGTTTGTTTTAAAACTCATTTGGCACACTGAATATTGCCTGCTGGTGGATAAAGACCTAATGTTAGACTGGATGTTAAAATATGGCATTAATCTACGAGTTTTGATTTATTATGAGATTGTCTTGCACTGTAGGACATTTTATGGTGCACTGTTAAAGCTGGATGTTTTTTTTGTTTGTTTGTTTCAGCGCTGAAATCGAGACATAAATTTCGATAGATAATGCCAGTAACATGAACTAATTAAATGTTGAATGGCTCTAAGATTTGTAATGATGAGCCCTTTCACTGGCCCAGAGAGGTAGTTCCTCATCACAGCCTAGGGTGATGTTTTGTCTTGTTGTGACAATGGTCAAAGCCTCATTGACTCCTGTGCTGCTGCTCGGCTTGTCAGAAACATTTGTTCAACTCTGTCCATGTTCTTTTTCATTTCCAACGATGCACTTTTAAAACAATTTGCCAAAAATAAAAAATAATGAATCAAAAATGTTTCTTTGCGTCATTCATCTTTTGTACTGCATCTATCACAACCAAGCAATTTCTTACATTTTTCATTTAATCCTGTTTCATGTAAAAATACAATCTTTAGTTATGCATAGTTAATTGATAAGAACTACAGTTCGAATCATTTGGGGGACGTAAACAGGAAGTATTGTGTTTCCATGGAGTCAGTAGGTTAGCTGTGGGCTACAATTCCCGTCTTGTTTATTTTAGCCTATATTTTGTTACATTTTGGCAGAGTGGTACCATTATAAGTGTGCCGAATAAGTGACACCGAACCATACCTAAAAACGTGTATTATGTTTGTGTGTTCACAACTGACTTATTTATGACTATGAGAAGGAGTGTTATCTTTCACGCAAAACCGCAGCAGATGGATGCTAAGCGCTAAAATACCTTAACGGAGTCAACAACATCAGATCTTCTATATCAAAGACAAAATATGCTGGTAGTCCATGTGTAGTCTCACCTATCTTCACAACGCTGGAGAATCGCCTGATATTTGTGGAAAAAACGCTCTGGCATGTTTGTATTTCTTGAAACCAATCACAATCGTCTTTGGCGGCGCCGGTGCTGCTGCAAAATAGTGTCGGGTGGAAACTTGTGTGGACACATGGATTTCCCCTAGGGGATAAATAAAGTATCTATCTATCTATCTATCTATCTATCTATCTATCTATCTATCTATCTATCTATCTATCTATCTATCTATCTATCTATCTATCTATCTATCTATCTATCCAATAAAATATAATTGATTTGATATAATTTACCCCCTCATGACATGACTAATCTCAGGGTGTGCAGTAGATAGTTATTTATAATTATAGGCTTTCTTTTGTCAAACATACCAACTCACTGACTGACTCCAGTTGAGAACACACCTGCACACGTACGGTATTACCTGTATCTGAAGTATAATTATTCCCTGAGAGGATCATATTATAAACTGGTTTTTCAATGGAAAAGCAGCCGCATGTTATATGAAAGTGAGAGCAGCCCCCAGCAGCACAGTGTACTTCTACAGTCTGAACCAAAGAGATGACCCTTTAATATTATGTATTTAATATTTTCTAAAACAAATATAGTACTGTGCCTGTGCAGATGTTTTAAGCAGCAAGTGAAGATGCTTTCAAGAATAATAGTTTTTATTTATCGATTTATCAAACAGAAAGATTTAAACCTAAATCAAATCAATATTTGGTGTGACCAACCATTGCCTAAGGCTAAAGTGCCTAAAACTTTTGCACAGTATTGTATTTGTCTTAATATTAGAGCTGGACTTCTGATGCAATTAATAATCTTCTGCCTAAATTAGTTCATGTCTTTGTCAAAAATACAAAGTGGTCGACCAGCCAGCGTTGCCAGAGTCATGTTACCAATAAAAATGTCTGGAATCCAACAAACCAACTGCATTTTCACAGTCACAGTAATGATACATCCTAAATGTTGCCTTTTTAATATTCAGTACAATATTAAACTTCTAATGTTTTACCTGTAACTGAAACAAATATAATCAAAATACTGTAAATATACAAATGCATTTTCTGAACCATTCCTTAGACATTAGACATTTATTACACACACACAGTTGTAGTGCACAAAAAGTCCACATGGTGTCTCTGCATCACAACATTCACTTTACAGCTTTTCCTTGTTTAATGTCGTCAATCATCAGGGAAGTCAGCTGAAAATCAATGAGTGCAAGAAAATCCACAATCATTCATTTGATACACAAAATAATTTGATTTATCTGTAGTTGTAACTATCAATGAAGCTGGTTGCAATATCACACATTACAGTATATTCAATACTTTATTAAAAGCCTTTCATATCTTACAGTAGAATATATAAATATAAAAGTTAAAACGAATATTTGTTGATGATATATGAGGTAAAAACACTGGTGGAAGGTGTATTAGGTGACACTGACACTACTACTTATCCCCATATTTAGAATTTATATCACTCTTTAAACAGTTCATACAGTCCCCTCCAAAAGTATTGGAACAGCAAGGCAAATTCCCTTGTTTTTGTTGTTCACTGAAGACATTTGGGTTTAAGATCAAAAGATGAGTATGAGACAAGAGTTCAGAATGTCAGCTTTTATTTCCTGGTATTTACATCTAGATGTGTTAAACAACTCAGGACATACCACCCTTTGTCTGAACCCACCCATTTTTCAAGTGAGCAAAACTATTGGAACATGTGACTGACAGGTGTTTCTTGTTGACCAGGTGTTGTCTTTAAGGTTGATTGTTCAAACATTAAATAGCTCTGCATGACTAGCCTACTTTTTGGCCTGGGTTTAAACCTATAAAGACTGCATTTCTTGTTAAAGAGGATAAACCAACATGAAGACCAGAGAGTTGTCTATGGGAGAAAAGGAAGGAAGGAAAGGAAAATCAATCAGAGCCATTGGACAAACATTGGGCATAGCAAGCACAACAATTTGGAATGTCCTGAAAAAGAAAGAAACTACTGGTGTACTGAGCAACAGACGTCGAACAGGTCGGCCAAGGAAAACAACAGTAGTTGATGACAGAAATATTGTGAGAGCTGTGAAGAAAAACCCCAAAACATCAGTAAGTCACATCACCAACGACCTCCACAGTGCAGGGGTGAAGGTATCACAATCCACTGTTCGAAGAAGACTCCGAGAGCAGAAATATAGAGGCCATACCACAAGATGCAAACCACTCATCAGCAGTAAGAATCGGAAGGCCAGATTGAAATTTGCAAAGAAGTACAGAGATGAGCCGCAAAAGTTCTGGAACACAATCTTATGGACTGATGAGACCAAGATTAATCTCTACCAAAGTGATGGAAAGGCCAAAGTGTGGAGAAAGAAAGGAACTGCTTATGATCCAAAGCATACAAGTTCATCTGTGAAGCATGGTGGAGGTAATGTCATGGCTTGGGCGTGCATGGCCGCTTCTGGAACAGGCTCATTAATATTTATTGATGATGTAACTGATGATGGTAGCAGCAGAATGAATTCTGAAGTGTACAGAAACATTTTGTCTGCCAATTTACGGAGAAATGCATCCAAACTAATCGGGAGGAATTTTATCATGCAGCAGGACAATGACCCAAAGCACACTGCCAACAAAACAAAGGACTTTATCAGGGGAAAAAAGTGGAAGGTTTTAGAATGGCCAAGTCAATCACCTGACCTTAACCCAATAGAGCATGGATTTCACCTCCTGAAGAGGAGACTGAAGGGAGAAACCCCCCGAAACAAACAAGAACTGAAACAAGCTGCGGTAAAAGCTTGGAATAGCATCACAAATGAAGAATGCAACAGTTTGGTGATGTCGATGGGTCGCAGGCTTGAGGCAGTTATTGCAAGCAAGGGTTATTCCACCAAATATTAAATGTTATTTACTTTAAGATTATTTGTTCCTTTACTTTTGCTCACCTAAAAATGCTGTGGTGTAATACAAACGGTGATATATCCTAAGTTGTTTAACACATCTAAATGTAAATACCTGGAAATACTTCTGGAGGGGACTGTATGTTTCTAAGACATCATAATGTAGGTGTAGATGCACATGTAAGTTTTCATTCATTTGTCAACAGCTATGACTGCTTAATATAAGCCTTAAAATAATAAACACTTGTCATGATGACAAATGTCATCATATGTGCTTACGGCTACATAATAGTGTTTTATAAACCATTTACTAAATATTCATATGGTGTTTTTAAGTGTTGAAGAGATTAAAAGTAAAGAGGTTATCATAAAGACAAAATTTCTCTTATGACTGCATTTTACTAATTAAAAAATGAACTTAATTTCTGTAGCATCTGTGTTGTAAAGTGCTTTTAATGGATAAAATCATTAAAACGGCACAGACAGTGTTGAGACATTCAGACACAACATTTAAATGCCATTATGAACTGTGAAATTATACAAAATTATACACTTGCTATTTGTCACCATGTGAATTAAAATGATACCTCAGTCAAACTCCCAATAGTACACAGCCTAAACAGTTTTTTCACAGCCTATTTATACAGGAACAGATCGGAGGAAGAAGATAAATACAAAAATAAATAGGCTTTATAATAGGGGTTCAATACATGCACAAGTCATGCTGATTTACAGCATGAATTAAGAAAATTATAAAGTCAGTATTAGTCAACAGTTAATGAATAACAAACAGTTACTTAATGCTTTAATATACTGTGATACCACCAAAGCAGCTCAATTAAAATTACTCATCAGCCTTTGAAAACACAACGGAAATGTTAGGCTATTTAGAATCAAACTGGTTGTTATTACATGATTAAACAGTCAACAGTCTCAACGGTCTAAACCTTAACTCCTGCCCACAGCCCATGTGATCACATGTATGTGGGTTAGAAGTTCCCTTTTTCTCTGTGAATGGACTCCGGCTGATTTGGTTCCACATAAATAAATGTGTCTAAGTAACTGTGAGTTCAATGATCACCTTAACTCATAGTGACTTAATTGATTCTTAATGATGTGCACAAGGAATTCACGATACATCTTTCATTAATTCACGCATTAAATCATTGTGCTGAGTTAAAACGGACCAATGTGTATTTTTTACCTTCATTATAAAGTGAAATAGAAATAGAAAACAGAAATATTCAATTATTGAGGTATTACTGGACATTGTTAACAACTCCTTCTGGGACCGTAAAAGTGGGGATTTTATTTTGAAAGTGGTCTCCCCTGGTTATATATTTTCAAAATAGCGTCACAAACATATAAATTATTTTCCAAAGTAACAGTATTTTTAACATTTTAAATATAAAATACCCTCTTTGTGTTACTGCAGCTGAACAAGAAACACACAAAGGGAATTTTATACTAAAAACACTTTGCTTTGGTCGACACCTTGTTTTGTATTTACTGCTGAAGCCTGATATGATAGCTTAAAATGAACAGTTGAGCACAGACTGTGGATTTTTGTCCCCAGTCACCTGCAGTGGAGACATGTTGGGAGGTTCTCTCTGTAGTCAGTATAGACAGGAGGAGTGATTACAGAAAACAAATACTGTTTTAGTGTTCATATGGACACCCGACACCCGACACTGTGAGGTTTTTAAAAATGTGTCAGAAATCATCACTCGTGTTGCCTGGATGAAAAGTAACATCACAAAAGTCTGAATGTTGTGAGGCGTCTTGACAGATTTTACACACAGATTTCTCTGTTGACCCATGAGTGGGAAAAAAAAGCTTAAGTGTCACAGTGTTATGTTCACAAATTAATTATCCCTCTGTGTTTGTGTGAGGTCATTTTTATTATTTGCCTGCTGCCGCTGCGGCTCAAATTCCCATGAGCTGGGATGAGCTACAAACATGAACTGGCCCAATAACTGGAACTGATGTGCATGTGCATCCCAAGAAAAATGAGCCCAATCGGTCAGATGGTGGCGGTGTAATTAAAGCCCAAAAAATGCAATTTTGAAAAGGCCATGCCCCTCAGAACCACAAAGTCCGATTGACTTGAATTTTGACACACAATTTGAGTTCAATGAACTCTACAAAAAAAGTCTCCAAGTCTTTTAGACCATGAAAGTTCATGCCAATGATGCCAATTTACATAAACTGAAAAACAGTAAAATGAATAAAACTTTTTGGATTTTCACTTTATCAGCACCAAATTTGGTAAACAGCCACTGGGGAATGAGATACACATTTCTACCACAAATGAGCATGAACAGCAAAATAGCTGTGCAAGGGGCGGGGCTTAGTGAATATTGGGCCATAAGCCATAAGCGAGATGATGAAACTGATGATGAAATGATGAAGACTTTGGTTAGTCTCACTTCCTTCTTTAAACATGATTAAGCAAACTACAATGGCTTCACTCACCCTTGTCAAACCTGAAACCTGCTCACTGCTACTTTAATTTTGAGCAGTTGAGCTGCTTTCCCTTTGTTGAGCACAAAAGGGTTAGAAACCATGAATGAAGGCTTGTGGCAATATGTAAAACTGAAATGACAGTATTTTCCCCAAGGCTATGATTTATCTGTCCCATTTCTTTGGATTTGGCAGATACATGTCTATTGTTTAAAGCAAACTGTTTTTTCCACCTCCTCTTCAACCTATTAATTATTGACAGTGTGATGACTTCTAGTAGTTCACAGCTTCTCAACCTCTTGGTTTATGAATGATTCATCAGACAACATGTCAACATGTTACAACATTTAATGTATTCAATCCTTCTCTATAATCTCACCATTCAGCAAACACACTAAAAACTGTCTGTTTCCTTCATGTTGTTGATTCACTAGCAGCACAACTGAGCACAGAGAGCTTGTTGCAGTGACCCGAGCACAGTGAACTACAGAGTTTAGAAACCTTTCATGGCATGACGTGGCATGATGATGATGACATCATTATGTTGCCACTTTAAATTAAGTAATTAAATTCATTACCAGAAAATTAGTACATCAGACCTCAAGGTTGAGAAACTTCACTTTGTGGAAACTCAAAATACATCCTTAAAAACAACAAAAAAATAGTCTTATATTAATCATCTACATACAGTATATTTTACCCCTTTAGATCTGTATTTTCTGTATTTTAAAAATACTAGATGTCAGTTTGTGCTGTCATCTCTTCAGTTCACATTTCGTTTTCATTTTCAGTCATTTGCTGGTTAAAGAATAATAAATTTCCCTGGAATGCTGGATAAGAGCCACAGAGCAACAAGGCGAGCTCAGTGTGGCAGAAAACCCTGCTCGTCTAACACTGAGATCTGATAGGAGAGGTGATTTGTTTAAATATAACTTAACTTATAACTTCAGTCCTGGTTGTCAGCACATTACGTCGTTTTTAGCTGTGTCCTACGAGCAGTCTCGGCCTGGCTTTTTTAAGTCCTTCCAGATCCACATACGATCGACGTTTTCTTGAGTCGTGGTGGCGATGAGCCGGGAGTAAGCACAGCGACTGTACGGCACAGGAAAAACATTAAAATAACCCCAGTCTGGGGGGTTAGTGGGAGGGATGCCCAAGTGCTGCATGCACAGCCCCAAATACACATCTTCAATGTAAACAGCTTTAACGTGTCTGGATGCCTCCACAAGCTTTTTCGTGAGGTCTAAAGAAAAGATGTAGCCCAGACCCAAAGCATAACGTGGATACACCGAGTGAGGGTAAATCTCCACAGGTAAGAACCATTTAGATGTTGGATCTCTCAGAACTGCACCTCCTCTCGCCACGAGTCCGGTCATGTAGTTTGTCTTTGGAGCGCTTATTAACATATTAATGAGGTTGGGTACATTTAGAAACATGTCTGAATCAATCTTCATGGCGTAAGAGGCGCTGGAGCAGTACGAGTCCAGCCACTCCAGCATCACCATGGTCTTGATGGTCAGGTTCTTGTAGCAGTCCACGAAGTCGCTCTGGATCAGGTCTTGATGCTCTTTGCTCTCCTGCAGCAGCTGCTCTTTGAGCTGCTCCCCCCCTTCTCCGGTGTGCAGCCCCAGCAGGAAGAACAGGCTCACCACTCTGCCCAGGATCAGACTTTCACCTCCCCATGAGTTGCGGATGATGTCGCGGTGTGCCCTGTTTTGGGGCGCCACGGGAACCACCAGAACCAGGAAAGGTTTCTGCTGCTCACATTTCTGTGGCTCGTTTGTAATGAAGTGGTACTCCGAGGGGTATTCCACTAAGTACGGTCCCGGAGACACATAAGGAGCTGGTGTTGGCACCACTGGAGCATTTGTAGTCAGGTTTGTTATAGTCACGTTTGTCACCTGTGTTGAAGTTATATTCTCAGTTTGTGGAAAAACCACTGAGTTGTTTGCAGATGTAAACCCAGCAGCAGCAGTGGTCAGTTCAGACGTAGATCCAGGACTGCTGGTGTTGGACTCAGTCCTGATGGGACCTCTTAACTGATTCCACCATTTTGGTGCAGTATCCTGAATCCACTGTCTAGGGTTCCAGTCTGTTGGCATTTCTTTCATGTTTGTGCTGTAAAAAAACAAAAGAGCCGCCAACACCAGAATGCAGAAGAAGCAGTGGCGCCGTGACCAAATACAACATCTCCTGCCTTCTGCCATTTTCCCACCATCCACCACTCCCTGGCTGAGAGGAGAAATAAGTGAGTGAGACAGGTTGTGAACAGAGGAAAGAGATCTGCTTTCAGTGTTTGTGCTTAAAAAATAGCCCTAGAAATGTTGTTTAGAGCAAAGGCTTAGATTGTTTCACAGATAACCGCTTAATGATAACGATAACTTAACAACGTTAAATAATGCCATGTTTTAGCTTTGTGTCCTTTAAACTTTTCATATATTTACTAATGTAAAATAAAACCTGTGAGGCTTTCTTAATCTTTAACAGTACCTTCCTTCCTCTTTTCTCTGCTTCCTCAGGAATGCAGATAATAAAGTTTAAAACACACGTACCTTTCTTCTCCCTTAAGAAATCCAGTTTCTAACACGGGTTTTCATCCTTTTCCATGTGAAGCAAAAAAAAAAAAAAAAGTTGCTGTTGCTGTTGCTCCAATGAAAAATTCATGCGAGGGTTCAGTTGCAGTTAAGTCCAACTCTAACTTGTGTGTTATGTCAAAAAGCAGCAATGAACATTGAAATGTTTTTTCTGGTCTTCACTCATGGATCCTGCTGCCTCTCAGACATAATGAGGTTCTGCTTCTTTAGCTGCAAGTTCCTGGCTCGAGCGAGTAACCATGGCACTGTGTCCTTTTTTACCTGCAGGGAAGCCACACCTTTGTTTGCTCCACCCCTTGGTTTGCAAGTGTTTTTTTTTTTTTTTCCTTTTGCCTAAAAGCCAATGAAAAGCTGAGGAACCTCCAGAGGCTTAGGTCAGCCACAGCTCTTCTTAGCTGAGCTGTTGCTCCTTTATCACACGAATGACACCTGTTTGTGTGTTTGTGTGTCGAAAGAGTAGTGTGTGTGAGAGCAAAGGGTAATTGACTTATAGTTTTGTGCACTTTTGTTGAGATAAGGGAGTATTCTATTTTAGGATTAATTACTTATTTTTCACCAAACCTTTGGTTATTTTGTTGGATTTGAAGTCATGAGGAGAGTTGTTGCTGTGTGTGTTTCATGCTGAAATCCCTCATAGTTTAAATCTTTTACTTAAGTGGAAGTATTAAAGAATCATCCACAAAATGAACTTAAGGTGTTAAAGGTGTTACATATATTATTAGATTATTAATTGTGTGAACAGCATTTTAATGTTATCGCTTGCTGAAATGGGGCTGATTTAAAGGTCTCATATTTTACACTTATCCTGTGTTGATCCATGAGAAGATATATTTGTGGTTTTTATTACCAAAAACCATCCCAATGTACTTTTACATCTCCTCTCTCAGGCTTCTCGCTGGAGCTCTAGTAACAGGTTGGTGAGCCAATCAGAAGAGAGGTTTGAGATTGGCTGATTGTTTTCTGAGCAATATAATAAAAATATAGCAGATTTCGCAAAAACACGCAGAGAAATCAAATCCTGCAAGGTTGAAAGGGCGAGGCTGAGAGTGGTAACTGCTCTGTTGTGACATTACAAGTTACACAAGTCCTGACGGCTTGTTTAAAGGCTCAGTGTCTGAATACAGCCTGTGTGTATTTCTCTGTGAACTGAGGCTTTGATACTTTCACAGTATTAATATAGAAACTAGACCTGCTTTATAATTAAAAAGACATAGAAATCTCACTTCATACAATAAGCTTCTTTAGTTCAGTGTCGCCATGTGTGAGATAATTATCATACGTCTTTTTTCGTTTTTTGCAATATATCAAATTTTTACTTTTACATTTTACCTCTTTTTTGTGCAAATTGAAAATGCAAAAAAACAAACAAAAGAAAAACAGGTGGATGGAAACCCATTTAATCTCTTCCTTAACCACCTTCAACCATCTACTGACACCTCATCAATGAGCTTTGACCTCTTATGTGTCCTTTATATTCTTCCATGTAAACTAATAACTATGTAATCTAATCACATTACTCACAGTTATTGGAGAAGGCATCCTGCACATTCGTGGTGGTGATGAATAAAATAAGTATTTGACTGGTATTTTTCCTCCTATTTGCTTTTCCCCACAGTCTGCAAACACATCACACCATCAGCTTTATGCAGCTTTATCAGCATCAGGTGTACTTTGTCGCCGCTCCGTTTTGATCTACATGTAGCACAAATGTCCTGCACAAATGGTAAGTTATCAACATTGATAGCAATCAGGTGTTAAATAGTTTAGCATTGATACTGAGGCCGTCCACATACATTTGTGTACTTGTGGTCTGGGGATCTCAGCCTCTTTATTCCAACATCTTAAAGTCTTACAATGAAACATTTTGGGAAAATCGCTTAGTTACCTGAGAGTTAGATGAGAAGCTGGATACAACTCTGACGTCTGTTTGTCAAGTGTGGAGCTTGGAGTTTTCCATATAGATTTATATCTTCCCCAAGAGGAAACAGGATGTCTTCAGAAATCCACCTATAAACACGAGTTAACATGCTGTATCTTGTTTCATTTAGTCAGTGCACAGGTTTAACAAAGACTTTCTGCTGGCACCCTCCCTGTGACGACAAGTCCTGGTATGTAAAGTTTAGAAATATTTATGTGAAACTCTCTATGGTCAAACGTTTGGTCCCATTCATGTTTGGTTGATATTCTGACATTATCTCGTATCTTGCGTGCAGAGGAAGCTGAAATTAGTGACAGTTATTTCCTGTTTATTCAAAAAAACATTCATCAGGGATTAAACTCACAGAAGTAGAAAAAAACTGGCAAACCTCAGAGCAAATAAATGAAATAAATACTGACATTGTATAACAATTTGTCATAAATGAAATCCTTTGTTATAAGGTCCACACACCACAGACTACCACAGAGAACTATCGAGGATGAAGAGCCGTAGTACTTCTTTTTTCCACCACAAGGTGAAGCAGACACACACACAGACATACGTGCACACACACAGACACGGTGAGAGAGAGAGAGAGAGAGAGAGAGAGGGGGGATGTGGAGACATGAGGCAGACAGTGAAAATAGGCAAACAAGGGAAACTGGAATTACCACTGGAGTGTGGACCCTCCGCCCAGAACAGGCCCAGCAGGTCTGTCAAGCTTTGTGTAAGAAACCAATGACTTTGACACTAAACCAGTGCTTGGGAAAAAAAGTGCCAGTACTCACCCGTGCATCGGCGGATATGAACAAAACATTATTAAATTCTAAATTTCAACAATGAAAAAAGAAGATATCGCTGGTGCTCACATTTTAAATTTATTTTCTGTATATTGTGTGTGTATGTGTGTGTGTGTGTGTGTGTGTGTGTGTGTGTGTGTGTGTGTGTGTGTGTGTGTGTGTGTGTGTGTGTGTGTGAAACTGGCTCCATGATCCCTTTGATTTATTAAACTAGCATCAGAGAACTTTGAATAAGCATAGACGTACTCTGTCAGGGTTAACTTGACTTGCCGAGTCGTCACGCTAACCCGTCAGTAGCAGATACTAAGCTGTCACGTAACAGCTAACCGTGGCTTCATTCAGTTGAAGGCAGCTGGATTAATATTCTGTCTATTAAATCACAAATGCACGTCACCACATAAGCCTTGCAGTCGTCAGCACCCTGAGGAGTCAGCCATACTTTCCTGATAAACCATTAATAGCGTAAAGATCAATATTTGTTTAGGAGTTTATTAAAGGTGAAACGGAGGATTCAGAGAAAGGTTTGTGATTACTGCTGTGAATGCACTTAATCAGTCTCAGTACGATCCGTCAAGCAGCATGTTTAAATACATTTGAGGGGTAATATTATGCAGGACCAGGGATGTCGCAGGAAAAGCAATAAAACATTTCCTTAATTTTATAATTTTTTATATTATACGCAAATTTTGAAAAAAATTCAAATGTCGTAACAAAAAAAAAAGACAAAAGTAAACCCTCGCATGAGGTGGTTTTTCAGACTATTCGACAAAGCAATATTTAGCTAAAGTGAAATTTAAACACTTTTTCCACATTTAAGTCACATGACATGACGTGAGTAATGACATCCAAACGTTGCAGAATTTAATCTCCCAAAAATCCCTGATGCTTGACCGCTGCCAGATAAAAGGCGTTTGCCTTGCCGTCATTACTTGCACCTTCGATTAAATAAGACAAGGGTCCCAACAACAAGCAGATGCTGGAAATCCGCCGCCATGTTTAATCGTGAGAGGAAAAATCATCACTCAATGGAAACACAGACAATTCGCAATCGTGTTTTATCGACTTCAAAGAAGAAATTTAAAAAAAGTGCGTCTTTTTCGTGCAAAACTGAAAAGTTAACTCGGCTCGTTTTGTGTTGTGAGGTTGTGGTGCAACTCGTGGCTCCAGTTCCATCATTACCCTGAAACAATGCCAACAGGCCACACATCCTTCATATGCACTACACGCATGATGAGTTCAATGAAAGAACCTGATCAGCACAGCTTAACTGTTTACTGATCAATATGGCAGTGGTACATCAACCTGATATTGATGACGATGGTAAACCCCTTCAAACTGTTGTAGTATAATGTAAGAACATATGTTTGATTTTTTAATGAAGCTTGACAGCACCTTTATGAGCCTGATATGCAGACTCAGCCTCGCTGGACGCTTATTTCCTGCATCACCACTATCTGGAGCGTCTGTCATCAACAGGTGAGGGTTAATTATTGAGACACTCCACAGTGGTTTATAGTAAAGTATATAAGATTTCTTTTACAGTTCTGGAAAGTTAACAAATATTTTATCTTTAGTCACAACAAATGTGAGGTAAACAGTATCGAATCACAATTTAGTTGACAAATTATACCTGTTTACCCAGGGCAATGGGCACAGTGTCTCTCCATGGTTGTTCTGCATCTATACTTAGTTGTTGTGTGTGTTTGTTGTTATTTTGCTTCTCTTTGTGGTTATTTTGTGTCTATTTGTACTGATTCTTTTGTCTGTGTGGTCTTAGTAGTCAATTCGTTTCTTGTCATACTTGTTTTGTGTCTCTTTATGGTCATGTTGTGTCTTTTAACTGAACTTTCAAACAAGAAATATTCACAGTCACTTCATCCATAGGCCAGGAGGGCCCGGGGCATGTTCAATAATCTATACAAGGGTCGTGGTCATGTTTATCAATTAATTAATCACATTATTAGGAATTCTTGCTATACACACTTTGGTATTGAATTGCATTATATGCAGTATCAAAAAGGTCTTTAAGACTTCCCAGATAGCAAAGTACTTGTCCCACATGCGTGTTTTGCTCTGGCCCAGTAAACACCTGGTTCAAAAGCCCAAATTTGGACCATATACAGCGCAACTGTCAGATGCTACTTCCACATTTGGATCTATTCTGGCACACACAAAGAAAATCTTCCAGCTGTCAGCCAATACAGGAGGATAACAGCCAGAATCTGCCCAGACGTGGAAATATATGGGCCAGACTTGGGCCAGTTGAGTTGTGTAACCTGTGGACACAGCTGCCACAGTGACCTCATTCAAATCAATTTCTTTTTCAAGTCAAATACAAAGCAAAACCTAACATCACAACTACAAATCGGCCAACACGCTATTCATCACAACGCAGATACACACACATACTCAAACGCACAATAACACAGTTCACACACACACAAAACAGAATATACATATCAAAACAGCACATACACGTGGTTATAAAAGCAGGTCATCAGAGTGATGCT